ATGACTACACATAATAGTGTGTTTCTGTCCTTTTTGTTATACGACAACTGAGTAAATCTGGAGAAACACAAAAATAAACTTGATGTAGAAATTAAGATATGGCTGTCTATAAAACAAGAATAAATATATTGAAGAATGATTGGGTGCTGAATGAATGGGTGTTGAATAAATATGGGTAAAAAATGACCAGAAGGAAAGAAGTACAGTAACAATATAGTTTCATCTTACAAAGAGAATAAATAATAATGGAAATAAATATAGAATGCATGTGTGTAGGAAAAGTCAATGGGTGGGTAAAAAGGAAGAAAAAGAAGAGAAAAATATGGTTGGATGTAACTGAGGAGTAAATTTGAGGAATTTAAAGAACAAAAGAATATATTATTTTATTATAAAATATTAAATAATATGCAGAAGAATAGTAAATAATGATTTAAACAATTTATTTATTTAAACAACTTTTATAATTAGTCCCACTCAAGTGCACTCTTGCAGCAAACACAAAAATGACAGAAGCAAAAATATGACTAATATCAATTTCCCATAAATTTTGCACCTGCTCAACTCAAAGACATAATGAAACAAGCCCACTTTTCTTATCTTGTCCTTGTAATTTCTTTGGTGTATTAGATCTTCTTTTTCTGCCCTCTGTAAAGTTACCTTCCCCCCAAAAAAGGATCAAAGCAATGGATACGTATGTATGTTTCTGTGATATTCAATTTGCCCTACTAAGATCCCTCTGAGAGAAAGAAGTAGGGGGAGGGAAATCCTGTGGAAAAATGGTAAAGACAGAAGAAAATATGAATTGGATTCTATTAGGAGTAGTGACCTAATTTTGAGAATATCTCAGAACAACTGCCAGTTTTGTTTTGGGATTTTTTTGCCAATATAGGGCTTCCTATATAAAAAGTTAATGTTAAAAATATAACCTGCCATCCAACCACAGGTTCCCTTTTGCCTGTAATAGAAGATTATTAGAGGCTTAATGTTCTTTCCTTTTTAAGCATGCAACTGAGAAGAATATTTAACAATTATAAACTATTTATTCTCAGATTTTTTCTGGAGAAAACAGTAAAATTCTTACGGGAAAGGTGACATTCAACAACTATGGCTAATCCTTGACTTATGACCATAATTGGGATGGAAATGTCCAATATAAGTTATTGTGATCATAAACCAATTTGGACCCAATTTTAGACAATTTGTATGGCAGTCCTGAAGTGAATCATTAACAAATCCGGCTTCTCCAATGGGAATGTTTTGCCAGAAATTGGCAAAAATGATCACAAACGTGACAATACGATTGCAGGACACTCCAACTGGTCATAAATACGAGCTGGTTGTCTAGTGCCCGAATTACAATGACAAGACTGTGGGGGTGTACAACAGTCATACATGCAAATACAGGTTGCAAATCTCTTTTTTCAACGCCATTGTCACTTTGAATCATTGTTAAAAATTGTCGTTAAGTCGAAGACTACCTGTATTCAGGGTATTCAGTCAAAAATTATAGTAAAACATTCCACTGTATCAACAAGCACACTAGATCTGAACTGCAAAATCTAGATATTACAGAAAAAAGATACTAAAAACTCTATGCTTGCCCTCATCCAGTGGTTATTAAGGTATTTGCAGCCATCTACCACCCCAATAGAAATAGTTCTTTTATAAACTGCTTCTGGGTCTATGCTTTGAACTGAAAAGCCAAGCTGTGATTCAAGTAACAAAATTACAAACTATTCTACTAGAAAGTACAATGTTTATTACCCTTTTAATAAACTTTGTAGCACAGATATCACTTTAAGAGGGTGTTCCACCTCACACCAACAGTAAGTAGGCAAGCAGGTAAGTTGCTGTTACAAAATGGAGGCATATTAAAGATTGCTGGAAGCTTCTGTAATGTTTGACTAACTTTGTGGTGAATTTACAGCAACTCAGGGCTGTTTAAAATCTCAGACAAGATAAATGGCAACAACGGCTTTGTGGAAATATTTATTATAAATTATGCCCATCCTTGAGAAGTATGGAAAGTGTAGTATTAGGCTTGAAGAAAAATGCCCACATTTTGTGCCTTGCAGAAAATAGGATCAAGAATCTGAAAGGTATGCTGTGAAATAGAGGACCCAGAGCTTAGCTTGTTCATTCATTCACTCATTCATTCATCCATCTTGTATCCTGAAAAATCATTAGAAATTTATAGCAATTCATAAAATAGCTGACCAAGAAAAATAATCCTTAAACAGTTAAAATATGGACTGAAACAATTAATCTGTTAGATAGATACAACCAATCAAAATTACAACAATTACAAATAAATGGAAGGCAAATATAAATGACATCATAATGAAATCAAATGTCAAAATAAAATAACATGAACAATTAAATAAACTCAAGGTAAAATATAAATAGTGACATTTAAAAACTATTCATCAAGTGCTCTTCAGAAGAACTCTTGTAAAATAATTTCTAGAACATTTAAAGGGATGGAATAAATCTTAATTCTAAAGGCTGTGTACGCATTTGTTTGTGTGTGCATGTGTAGGGGGCTATTCTGCAAATTGGGATAGTAACTGAAAGAAAACACTTCATTAAGCGTTAGATACAGACAGATGCTTTTCATTTATTTGTATTTCAACCTGGGGCTGAGGGAGATGAGGGCAGCATATATACATGCTTCTCTTTTTAATCTCAGAGCAATGCTGTCCTAATTCCTGTGAATTGATTAGATAACGAGGTAAGTAAAGGGCAAGGATTTGAACTTGAGTTGTCCTACTTCAAATGTCATTCTTTGATCATATTTACTAAATAATATGTGCCATGTTCAGTAAGGTAAATAAGGTTTACTCAATACAAATGTATCTAATTCATGGCTATATCTAGTAACTCGTACTAGGTTTCCCAGGTTAAAAGCCCAACAAGGATCAGCTTTTCAGTTTGTGTGCCCTGGAGTCCTTGGAGTTTCCTTGGCAACATTTTCAGAAGTGGTTTGCCATTGCCTATGTCCTAGAAGTGATGAATGACAGGGCCAGTTGGCTTTGTGTCTTAGGCAGGACTAGAACTCATGGTCTCCTGGTTTCTGGCCTGGTGCCTTAGCCACTATGTCAACCTGGCTTTGTCAAGTTTATAGTAGAAGAGTTGTTTTCCTGGAATATCTTCCTCTCCATCAATGGTAGCTCAGATTCACTGAAGTTCAGATATACAGAAAAACATTAACATTGTATTTCTGCAGCTGCTATAAGAATGGGGTGAGGAAGTTCAGTGTCCCAAAATCCAATACACCTTCAAAAGTTCTGTGGTAATAAATCTCATCCCCAAATTTCTTCCACATATTATTTTTCTGTCTATATTTAAATCAGAGGAGATAATTAAGATCACTCATTTGGTCCAGAACTTAACTAATTTGTTCATATGAACACAAATAAAAACATCACTGAGAGAACCATTTTGGTCTAGTTAGTTAAGGCACCAAACTAGAAACTGGAAGGCCATTCTTTCTAGTCTGGCCTTAGATATGAAAGTCAGATAGTAGGTGATTTTGGACCAGTCACTCTATCAGTCAACCCCATCTCAGAGGGTTGTAGTGGTGGGAAAATTAGGAGGAGGAAGGAACATTAGGCATGTTTGCCACCTCAAATTATTTATAAAAAATAATAAAGGTGGGATAAAAATAAATCAATCAATAAAATAATTGGCAGGCTATCTATGATCTGTTCCTCCATAAACCCTTGGTGCCGGGCCTTTGAAGCTGTTCTCTTATTAGTCTCCTCATATCAATCTGTCTTGATATCAAGGAAAATGGCAAAAATTCCCATTTTATTTTTACTTCAGAGTAGCTTTGGCTGGTAATAATCTGCTCTTCCATTTTTTTTTACTGTTTATACTAGTATTTTATTATCATGTAACAGCAATGCTTAATTTTTTTTTTCTTTTATTTTGTATATATGATCCAGAGCTGCTTTGACTGCCTCTTCTAACCAAAACTGATAGCATGTTAACATCCAAAACATATTTAAATTGACTAGAGTCATAGTACATTTAAATTATTTGTTGACAGGTGGCAAAATTACTGGACTTTGCAGCCTTACCATGCTAGGAAAATTTCCTTCCTTTTAAGTGAACACTTGAACTGATTTTCATACTTGAATACAGTGTTGTTGTTGTGTGTGTGTGTGTGTTTTTAAGTGCATCCTTCCTCATACCACAGATTGGATGGAGCAATACTGACATCCTTTGGTTTACTCTTAAGGGACTGTTTGCAGCACATCCCCATGTGTTACAAAGTACAAAATCCTTGCCCCCCCCATAATGGGAGGCTTTGGTCCAATATGATCCAAGAGGAATTGTGCACAGCCCAATGTGTAGCATGAAGGAGCATCAACTGTTCCAGATTTAACGCGCGCAAAGGATGACATCTGCAGAATAGCAAACTAAAGCGCAAGCAATTCAAGAAATATTACCCCTACACACGATGCCAGAGATCGGCTGGGACAAAAACACCAGATCCGTAGGTGGCCAGAAAACGGACATTTGGACTTTTGCTTTGCAAAAGCACGAGTAGCACTGAAAATTTAAATTCTGCAGAAGTCGCCGGGAAAGAATCCAGCAAGATCAGTATCTTATAATAGCTTTGCTTTCCCCCCCCTTTTTTTTTTTTTTTATTGCAAGAGAGAGCTGAAAGCGAGCAGCAGATAAATGCTACCCTGTCTCCAGTGCCCCGGCCAGAAAATGTGAAGGCAATTTCTTCTGGTATCACCTCCGAGAAGAATATAATTTAATTTGTCACCTGGCAATAGATGGAACGAGGAGACAACTGCTGCAGTCTCCCGGTGGAAAGAGAGAGAGGGAGAGAGAGAGAGGAAAATTAAAGATTTCAGAAAGACAGCCCTCCCCCCCCTCTCCCCATTCCCTCCCCAACAACCCCAAACAAACCACCAAGGCTGAAGTGGTGTTATGACTGTGTCTTGTTTACCGCGAGCAAAGCGGACGGGGCTGATTATTATTACCTTGGACTTGAAGCACAGAGACCCTTTCTGTCAGGAGCAGGAGGAGCGAATCTTCTCGGCAAAGCCCCCCTTTCTTTGTATCCCTCCCACACATTCACTTGCAAATCCCTGGGAAAGCCTGCTCTTCTCCTAGTTTCTGTAACCTTCCGGCGGCAAGGGCTGCGCCTCTCTCAGCAGAGCCTTTCCCTCTCTGTCTCTCTCTCCTCCTCCTCCTCCTCCTCCCACTCCTCCCCTGCGAGGTGGCTTTTCTTCTTCTTCTTCTTTCTTTTTCTTTTAATCAGGCTCCCTGAATGAAAGCCAGTCAGAGCGGGCGAGCGAGTCAGCCAGCCCAGCCTGCGAATGCTTCCCCCTCCTCTTCCCCGCTTCCCATCCCCGCTGCTTTCCCCGCTATCCAGAGTTAAGTGATGCTCGCAGAAGACGCCTGAATTCGATTCGAGTCGACTCCGGGTGGAGAGGGCAAAATAGCGAAGGGGGGAAACCGCGCCAATAAAGAGGAAGATTAGTCCGGGACTTCAGGGGTTGCTGCCTGGGTAGGACTCGACTTGATTCACAACAAAAGGTAGGACTCTCTTGCCTTTGGCTTTGTAGTGGAAAGGGCATCGGAGTTGTATTTGGGGGGGTCCCCCGTCCCTGTGTACCGTATTCTATCAAGCACAGGGATATAAAACGGGTAACTTTCGCTCGCTCTTATAAAAAGAACCGTGGAAACCCGAAGTTACTCGAGCTTGTTGCCTTGCATTCTAGCTGAGCTGCTTCAAAAGGGCAATTTGCAAAGCTAGTCAAAAGAACTGTCGAGCTGGATGCGGGGCAGAATATAAGTCCCCTACTTCTCCGTTCAAGACTAACTAACTAACTAAACAAACAAACAAACCAGAAACGTCTTTCATTATTGAGGGAAAGGGGGAGGATGGGAAATTGAAGGCACATTTGTAAAGCTTAATCGTTCACCCCATATTGTGGGCTTTGCATGAATTCCAAACATATGTGTAGGGAACTCACCTCATCCTTTATATAAGATTGCCTGTAGGGTCTTCAGTTCTGAAGCTACGGTAAATGGCTCATCCTCCCTTCCCCCCCATATTTGGAATAAATTATGTTTCAAAATGCTCCAGGAGTGTTTGGAGCATAGAAACTTAACTTATTTGCCTGTATTTATAGAGAGCTACACAGAGAAAGGTTGAGAATGCACCCATCCCTTGTTGTGATAAGAGACTTACAAACCACAAGAGAGAGAAAAGCAAGTTGTGTGTGTGCGTTCACTGTCCCTGCTGCAATAAAATCCATATTTGATGTGATGTTAAATTAATGCAGCATGGTGCAAGTCCCCCTCTGTGCTCCTAGCAAGTCACTGTCGGTCGCTTTGTCAGCTGCTCTCTGCTTTGCTCCAAAATTTACAGCAAATGATTGTGCATTATAATGCCAGCTGAGGCTATCTGAACTAAACAGAGCTTTCAGCATCAAAGAGGCCACCAACTGACGGCATGTGTGGTTAGTAGTATCTGACCTATCATCCTGGTTTGCATCTTCCACCCCAATGGAGCCCTTTCACATCATCCCTGATTTAACAATCTGGAAAAGAGACAAAAAGAGGCTGTGGGGGGGGGGTCTGTTTTCAGAACTGTAGCTCATTAGTTTTGAAATGCTTTGAGGTATGTGATTTTACTCTGGATGGTAAAAAGAGGAAGAGAGAAGAATTTATTTGCTTTCATGGGATAGATGGTTCCATATTTACATATTTTGACTTGGTATTTGTTGAGCCTTGTTCTGAAATTATCTGCTTTGAAACTTTGTTGAGCTTAGGTTACTGTTGTCAGCATTTCAGATATTTATGCTAATAAACATCACTTCTCTGCACCCCCCCCCAAAAAAAATGGGAGAGAGAGGTGGGAGGGAAAGTAGGATGAAGGCAGAGAATATTCAGAGAAATAGAGAAGGACAAGTTCTATTTGCTTAGGGGGAAAAAAGCCCTCTCACTGGCTTAAAAAAATGGCAGCATCATTTGGTAGGTAGGGATGAACAGTGTGATTCAGAACCTAATCAAATCAAATCAAGCACTTCATCTCCAACCTATTATGATCGATGAAACTGATCCTTTTATGCACACTTGATTGAAGGTGGGTGTTTATAATGTGAAAGTTCTGTCCTGTGAAAGAAACTGGTTTTGAATTTCATCCTAACCTTTAAAACTATGGAGTTAAATTTATTAGAATTGGGCTTGATTTCAAATCAAATTGCATCGCATGCTTTGTTCTTTTACTGTTGAAAATAAGCTATGATTTGTCTGAGGTGTGTAAGAATTGTACCAAAGAATAAATAAATACAGGTCTTCTAGTTTGTGTTGCGCTCATTGCATTGTGTTACTTCTGACTCTAGTTTATTGTTGACATATTTGGATTGTGGATGAATTTCAGTGAGGGAGATTTTTAGATTTTTGTGCAGGTGTACTTGGAGAGTACAGTGTATATTTTTATTCTGTATTGTACTTCAGTGCTTTAAAGGTATGCAGAATTTTTCCCAATGCAATAATGCATTCCTTTAAACGGAATCAGATGCTGAAAGCAGATCTGTATTCTATTATTACTAAGAAAAGGAGATAAAACTGAAAGTCCCATAGTCTCCAGATACACAGAGGACATATTGCTCTTTTATTTATCAGTCAGAGAAATTTGATGTTAAAGTTAAATTCAAAAAGCCTTGCTACTGAACATGGCTGGTTAAAAAAAAAAAGACAATTGCTTCATTTTTTTTTTTTTAATCAAAGTACTGAGTACAGAAGAGAGAAAAGGTTAATTTAAAAATGATAACCTTTTCTGGTACTTAGAAAGCCGTTTCCTGATTTTAGCAAGATATCCCAAAAGGAAGAAAATAACAGTGAAACCTTACTCTTGTTTGCTGTCTGATTTTTGCTGAGGTGATTTATTTTCTATCTATTTTTATAATACTAATAATGCAAATCGTAATAATTGTTCATGCTCTGTAATGCCACTAGGCTGCAGCAGTTGCACACAGGGTCAAAAAAGTGTGGGGAAAAACACTGAATAAGTCACACAAAAGAGGTGTAAGAAATGTGCTTTATGTTCATATTAAGTACTGACCTCTTTTCTTTAAAAAATGATTAATGATGAGTAGCTGAAGTATTTTATATGATCTATCCAGTTTCTCATTAAACTGCACCACAGTTCTCACTGCTGTGCATCATAGTGCTGTATTTATCTCCAGCTGGGCACAGGGGAAGGCAGGCAGGAATGAAACAAATAAAGCAAGAGGGGAACGATAGATTGATTCAGAGAAAATATGTAAATTATAATTTTTAATAGAGCTGAACTGGAATCTCTTTATGTAATAGATGCATTGAGGCTAATTAATATTGTATTCTCACTGCAGAAGAACTAGATTTTCAGCAAGAGAACAATCTAGTAAAGGTCTGTTGGTGATTTTTAAGTTGATTTGAAAACTTTTCATGTAGATTAAAAGGGATATGGTATGTTGCTTTTATACTAGGATTGTGAGAACCTGGATACAGTGCCCACCCTCTGCTATGGAAAGCCACTTCATATAATGATGAAACCATCATTATTTCAGGTCACCCAACCTCATAAAATTGTAGGATTGTTCTGTATACCACCTTAACCTCCTGGAACAGAAGTGGAATATAAATCTACGAACAAATAAAATGCATTATGATAACATCTGGAATTATGAGGATATAACTTTTAATTGCACAAATTCCATGGAAGCATGAGTGTGCTAGGTACAAGGAATTCATGCCCTCATGCTTCTACTCCAGAATTGTAGCCACATTTCTATTCTGTCTCAGGGAAATACTTGATTCCAATTGTAAAAATAAATATATTGGGACCATTCTCTTGCTGTTGATATATATTGTTTATGTATTTGCATTATTCATTTACCTCCTGCTTTACCAGTCATTAGGCAGCTCCCAACAATAAAATATCAATAAATTCTCCAACTCTAAAATCATCATAAAAGTATAGACACAGTCACTTAATAGCCAGAAACTTAGAACTGACAAACTCAAGGACAAACATAGAAACTGTCATTTTGTCAATCTACCAAAGGCTCAACAAGAATGAATCCCTCCCCTTGTTTTGGAAGATCACTATGGAAGACCCATCTTCTCTTAAAGAGTAAGAGAGTTCCAAAGACTGGGAAAGAGTGGCAAAGATGGAAGTTTCTCTCTGTGCTGCCATTTCCCAAACCAGTGGTTCTCAACCGTCTTTTCCACAGACCCTTTTAAAATAACTTTTATGACCACAGTCCATGGCTTCCCAAGACTTAACTCAAGATGTGAATCATAACATTTCTTCAAGCCTTTGTGGACCCCCTGTGATGACATCCCGCCTCCAGGAGTCTGCAGATCACAAATTGAGAACAACTGCCCCAGACTATATGGGGAATAAACCATCTCATAGAGTAAGAATAAGCAATTCTATGAAAATTGAAGAGTTGAACAGTGAAGGGACTTTATAGATAATCAGCACTTTCAACTGTATCTATACTGTTAAAACCAATTCTGCTCTTACAGATTCGGCATACACTGCCAAACCAGGACTAGCTACAGGCAATTTGGAAGCTATATTTTAAACGTATTGGAATTTCTGAGTAGTCTTCAAACAGAGCTCCAGTAAAGCACATTAACGAGATCCAGTAAGCTACAAATCTCCTTGTTGATCTGTAAAACGTATTGAGAATCCTGCCATGTATTTTAAAGCAGATTCCATTTTTTGGGGGGGGGCATGGAAACATTAAAGCAAAACAAACAAAATTCTTGTATTGTAGTTAATTGTTACCCACCAGAAGTTTAAACAGTTTACACTCTAAAATTCAGATTACAATGGATAGATTGTTATCAGGTAATGGTCTTTATTAACAAAATGAAAAGATGACATATAAAAACAACAACTTTTTTTCCATGTCACAAATGGTGTTTTTACACTATTTTCATTTGTTTTACTCTGCTCACACACTTTTTTCTTAATTATTAACCACTTCACCAGGGCTGAATTTGGGTTTGTGAAACAACAACAACAACAACAATAATAATTGGAAGGGACCTTAGAGGTCATCTAGTCCAACCCCCTGTTCAGGCAGGAAGCCCTATACCATTTCAGAC